GTTACTGTTCGGTGTGATTAAGTAAATGTTTGAAAGTGATTATTCACAATGCAGTTACCCGTTACATTTCCATATTGTCATGTAATTTACAATGTGTATTAAAATTCCTTTGTAGTGTTTTCTGGTGATTGGTTAATTTTCATATTTTATCTAAATTTAAAATTAAATGCCACCAGTACGACTAAGAACTGTGAGTGGCTTGAGGGAACGCAAACGTGACCGCTTGCATCAACCTCCCAATTTGACGGATACAGAGTGGCAGTACCACCGTTGTGATACATCCAATCCCGGACAAATGAACGTTAAATGTTTACATTGTGGTGGCTTACATTTTAAGCAAGAAAAGACAGGCCGAGAGAGTTAAATTTTTACTCTTTGTAAATAAATGAAATAAATAAATGAAAGGTTCTTTTACCTTATTTGCGGAATTCACCATACTTTCAGGAACTACAGTAGAACCTCGATAGTTCGACAGTTTGTGGACTTAAGGGATGTCGAACTATAAGGAGTAAATGGAATTTAGTATTCAGGAAAGTAGGAACCCGTGTCTTATATAGAAATCACCCAAATTTATTAAATACTAAAAAGCTTAACAATTACACTGTTCATTAGTTAAGTCTCAAGTCAACAATAAATGACAAATTAATGTTCAAGTCAGCTTACATCACAATAGTAACCTTTAAATATCACTTGACAAAATAGTTCAGCCCGTGTCGAACTACAAAGAGTGTTGAACTATCGAAGGTTTACTGTAATTGGAAACTCTCAATCTGAAAATAGGGCTGTGAGGCTTCGATCTACAAATTATCTGGATAAAATTTGTCAATTTAATTCCGCCTTTGCCATGATCAGCTATGAAGCTCATTTTGACGAGAGGGTCACACAGGGGATCTACAATTTCAAGATCCATGACAAGTTTTGCCACCGAATAGGTAATCTAATTCCTCAAGAAGGTCATGATCCTGAATACGCACAGATCTATAAGTACAACGTTGGAACTGGAACCCAACAGCGCATGTAAAACAAACAAAAAATGTAATGAAAAAATATGCGGGAAATAGAGTCACAATGCCAACCCATTTGCCCAATCTTTTAAAACTGTGGCAGACATTGGTAGGGACGAGAGCTGCGAGGAGTCAAGTTAGATTGTTATGGGCATAGTAAGAGACAAAAGAAGTGACTTCTTTTGCTACAATGATGCTACCTGTATAGATGTCTCAGCTATTTTAAAGCTGAAAACAGAGCACCGTCTGGCCAAATAAATCTTTGATTTTTGTTACTTTAGTTGGGGCACCTAATTTAAACACGCCTAAAACAGAACATATGGTAGAAATAATTTAACAATGCTATAGTAAGTGTCCTACTGGTTGGCGTCAAGAGGGAAGCTTTCTACATTAGGTCTAAAAAAAAAACACTTTACAGTGTGTGGTTGACATCTACGTTTTCATAGAGGGCACCCGCCCACAGTACATAAGAGATAACCAAAGCAGTATGAGAACGGATCTATATTTAAATACTGTACCGTAGATCACTTTTAGAATTTTTTCAACATAATATTTTTCATATTTCTATAATCAGTCATTGAAATTACTTTAGAGTGACTCAATGATTGCGGTTTTGCTGTTTGTGTTTTTGTTCTTCATTCTTTTAGTAAAAGTTGCAGTTTTGCTCGATTTCGAGCAACAGGTTACCTAGTCTAGATAAGTATGGTACCGTGTGTCCATAAAATATTCATCGGTAATCAAGATCAAAAACTAATCAAGGAACCTCTTTAAATGTTTGTTCATATGTCAGATCTTTTGCCAAATTCAACCAGGTAATACAAGAAGTCAAGGATTTTAGCAAAAATTTGGGTAAAATGATCACCTCCTATCACGTTCACACAATTTAGGCAGTTTGAGGGGACGTTGCACTACTTATTTTGTTTGATTATATATGGCACAGCTGATTTGTTTTAGTAAACCTCAGCTGTTCAGCTAATTATTTTATAGGAAGGTTTATGTGGAGAGAGTAGATTTCTTCCTCCATAATAGCCTAATTTTTGTGAACGCAGTACAGTTATAGCAGGTAGGTTACCAACAATATTGTATTGAAGCGATGATAACTACTGATGTATGATTCACAAGCTTATCAATCACACCAAGCTTACAAATCTCAATCTAGCTTCACTTCCTATTCAAAACAACTAACCTAACGTAGATCTTGGAAGATAAGACAAAAGTGGAAACCAATGCCTTCGCTTATTATACCTTTACTATAAAAATTCCAAATCTGCAATTATTTCAATTGGCAAGACCAATTTTGAAAACAAAAATCTACATGGAGCCCTCCACACAAACCGCCAGACAGTGCTATGACATCAATCATTCACTTTATCGCGGACATATCAAATTTTCAAAGCTTATCTTAAAAATGCAATATTCTATCAACAAATGGAATTGAACATAAATATTGCCCCTTTTCTTACAAGCATTTTAGTACTTTGATGATTACTCTACAACTAAGTTATTGAATAATTTATAATTTGTATTTTGGTTAGATTTTGACAAGATGGATTAGTATTTAGTAGTTATTAGTATTTAGATTAAATTAGTATTTATTTTTATAGTTGAGACCTAGGTTTCTACATCGAAACGTTATCAGTCCTATGTCTCATAGGCTAGCTAAACTTCTTGTTTGCCATCTCTTACTTGAGATATTGTCGATGTGGTATAATTTGTACAAACATTGATATGATATGTATGTGTATGTATGTGTCGAGGTATGCCTAGGCAATAGATTAAACGATTCCTTGGTGTAGATTAAAAATAGTAATGAATGTAAATCAGTTTGAATTTTATTTTAACTTTTAAGTGAGTTTAAGCATCACTGACGGATAAGTAATATAAACCATTTAGTTCAATAAGTGATCCTGGGCCACTAAGCATAATGAGATATTATGTGCATGTTCCTATAGCTGGATTCCAACGCTCTGATACTAAAATAGCGGCCGTCCCAAAGCATTGCCAATGCTTAACGCCTGTTACCTTCTGAACTGCCCTCCCCCACCCACATAACTATTGAATTTGTCTTTATTTTTGTACAGAATACGAGTGGTCTTGTCAAGTCTGCAATTACACAATAGCGCAATTCAATAAATCTCATCTCATGTATTAATTATTTGTACTAGTTCCTGTCATTGTTGAGCTAAGCATATATTTTCTATGTAATAAAGATTATTGGGTGAATGGTGTGCGGTTAAGAAGAGAAAATTAGCACTTGGTTTGGTATGTAGATTTAGGTTCAAATACAATACTTAAATGAAGTAAAACACTGAAGCAGTTTGTACATTTTAATTTGTACTAGTAGCACAAAAATTAACATGTTTATGTGATTATATGATGCATGTAATAATTAATATTGTAGGTTTATCCACCAAGGTTATCAAGATTTCGCATGGATTCAGTACATTAATCAACCTATCATTTTCATTAAAAATATAATATAGTACATTACAAATATTTAAAAAATCTACACTAAATACAATTGTTTTATTAACCTGTACAGTTGATGAGTTTTACTGAAATGCCTTAAAAGCCAGTCTAGTTACTAAAAGTAGGTACAATTAATTCACCATCCAAAAATAATGTAATATATTCATAAAAATGTACACAAAATGGAAAAATCAACAAAATCTTGACATTGTGGGTTTTTTGTATCTATGCAAAACACAATAAGATGGTAGCTTTGACTATTAATACAACCATACTTCTGTATCCAATAGTCAATGATAGTAGCTAAGAAAAGTACCTTGACATCTTATTTGAGTGTTCAGTTTCAATTGTAATATGTAGGATACATTGAAAACCCCTATAGAATATATTGCTATTTTATTAGCTATGGAGCATTATAAACGGTAAAAACCATACGTTTGCGAACTATAAGTATTAGAAATGTTGTGCCTATCAAGTCTCTAGTCTCTTTCATCTTAGACGCTGTGATATAATTTCTGGCCGAAATACAATTCTCAAGTAGATAACAATTTGTAATCAGGGCCGTCCGAAGGGGGGGCAACCAGGGCAAGCTGCCCCGGGCACCACAGCTGAGGGGGCGCCGCGGCTAAGGGTGCGCCGCGCAGCGGCTATTGGTATCAACGCACGGGTCCCGAAATTTCGGGAAATTTTTGGGAAAAAATATTCCTGATTTTTGGGACGAAATTACATTTGATCTGGAAATTTTCGGGACGGAATTTGATCTGATAATTTTAACGCTTCGCGAGTGAAAATGACGCTGCTATCGCGAGAGATGTTAACGGTAATTCTACAAACGCAGGAGCCGAAGTCATTTCGACGAGCGCACCGTGACCGCAAGTCATTTGGACGATTGCATTGTGGCCGCGGAGTCGTACAGACAATCGCGCTGTAACCGCAAGTCATACCGACGATTTCGCCGTGACCGCGAGTCATACCGACGATTCCGCCATGACCATGAGTCATACCGACGATTCTGCCGTGACCGCGAGTCATACCGACGATTCCGGCATGACTACGAGTCATACCGACGATTCCGCCATGACCGCGAGTCATACCGACGATAACGTCGTGACCGCGAGTCATACCGACGATATCGTCGTGACCGCGAGTCATAACGACGATCACGCTGTGACCATACCGATGATAACGCCGTGACCGCGAGTCTTACCAACGATCACACTGTGACCGCGAGACATTTCGACCGCGAGTCACAAGTTTCTATACCTGTAAATTGTTACCCTTTTTTGCTTTTGATAGATTAGTGCCACACTGCCACAAATGGTAAAATTGATTTTGTTTGTCTTTTTTGGTAACTTCAATACTCAAGACTTTCTTTTTATGCATAGGAAAAAATCCCGTCCTGAATTAACATAGTATTAAAATATGTGAATGCGACTATTACTGGGGGGGGGGGGGGGGGCGCCACGACCACATTTGCTCCGGGCGCCGCTAACCCTAGGGACGGCCCTGTTTGTAATGTGCCTATTTTGAGAGGGGTCAAACTGAAAATCAATCCGAAAAAAAGCTGCTTGGCAAAAAAATACTGCTACAATGTTGTAGGCTATTTATTAAATGGCTTGACAAGCTTTGAATATTAGAGCCCTGTACTATCTCATTGTAGGCTGAGCTATCTGGAAAAATGTAAGGTGTGACCTAATTTGAGGTGAGACGAGTATTACTTATTTTAAAATCTAATTTTGTCTTTCAACCTGAAATTTTGTCATAGTGCTTAAACACTTTTAGGTCACAGGTGAGACGTTTGGTTCGTTGTTTAACAATAGCTTGGTTTATTTACAATAAGATCCACCACACATACTACCCATTGACAATTGATACAAATAATGATTAGGATTCAATGGATGTGATGTGTATTAGGTTCCTAGGAAGGTTATTTCGCATTTCCGCAATACTCTCTAGCCCAAATGTCACGAGATATGTGCATGTGTGAATTTTTGTGGTGACGTGTTTCTTATGGAACCCCGAAATCTGATGGATCTTTACGGGCGCCTTTAACCAGAAAGTGGCAGAAATATTTTTTGTGGCTGTAATATGCTGAGACGTTTTCCATTTTCTTAATAGGTGCCTGCCACAAACCACCTTTGAACTAGTTTTCATAATTCTTTGTACTTAGAAAACAAAACTAAAGAAAAAAGAGAAAAATCTGTAAACTTTTTTTGAATCTATTGGTCCTTGCCGACAAGTTTTGTAAACTTGGCGAGGCCATGCTTGTAATATCCTAAATAAATATATTTGAATTTGAACACATTACAACTATTTGTGATGAATCTTCCAGATGTGGTGCACTTATAAGGTCTCTCCAGTGTGAATGAATTATTCATAAGTCTTTCCATATGACTGCTGGTTGGAAGGATTTTTCACTTGTGAGGTCGCTCTCTCGTGTGAACCAATTTATGTCTCTTTACATCTTCCTTGGATTTGAATGATTTTCCACATGTAGGGCACTGATGAGGTCGCTCTCCCCTGTGAACCAAAGTATGTTTCTTCATATCTCCCTTGGATTTGAATGATTTTCGACATGTAGGGCACTGATGAGGTCACTCTCCGGTGTAAACAAATGTATGTTTCTTCATATATTCCTTGGATTTGAATGATTTTCCACATGAAGGGTACTGATGAGGCCGCTCTCCTGTGTGAACCAATGTATGTTTTTTCATATATTCCTTGGATTTGAATGATTTTCGACATCTAGGGCACTAATGAGGTCACTCTCCTTTGTGAACCAATGTATGTCTCTTCATATATTGCTTGGATTTGAATGATTTTCCACATCTAGGGCACTGATGAGGTCACTCTCCCGTGTAAACAAATGTATGTTTTTTCATATATTCCTTGGATTTGAATGATTTTCGACATCTAGGGCACTAATGAGGTCACTCTCCTTTGTGAACCAATGTATGTCTCTTCATATATTGTTTGGATTTGAATGATTTTCCACATGTAGGGCACTGATGAGGCCGCTCTCCCGTGTGAACCAAAGTATGTTTCTTCATATATCCCTTGGATTTGAATGATTTTCCACATGTAGGGCACTGATGAGGCCGCTCTCCTGTGTGAACCAAAGTATGATTCTTCATAACTCTCATGAATTTGAATGATTTTCCACATGTAGGGCACTGATGAGGTCGCTCTCCCGTGTGAACCAATGTATGTTTCTTCATATAGCTGCTGTTTCGGAAGGATTTTCCACATGTTGTGCACTGATGAGGTCGTTCTCCTGTGTGAACCAATAAATGAAGCTTCATATTGCTGCTGGTTGAGAAGGATTTTCCACATGTAGTGCACTTATGGGGTCTATTTCCTGTGTGATCCAATGTATGTCTCTTCATATAGCTGCTGTTTCGGAAGGATTTTCCACATGTAGTGCACTCATGAGGTCGTTCTCCTGTGTGAACCAATAAATGAAGCTTCATATAGCTGCTGGTTGAGAAGGATTTTCCACATGTAGTGCACTTATGGGGTCCATTTCCTGTGTGAACCAATGTATGTCTCTTCATATAGCTGCTGGTTGAGAAAGATTTTCCACATATAGGGCACTTATGAGGTCGCTCTCCCGTGTGAACCAAAGTATGTTTCTTCATATCTCCCTTGGATTTGAATGATTTTCCACATGTAGGGCACTGATGAGGTCGATCTCCCGTGTGAACCAATGTATGTTTATTCATATCTCCCTTGGATTTGAAGGATTTTCCACATGTAGGGCACTGATGAGGTCGATCTCCCGTGTGAACCAATGCATGTATCTTCAAAAGGCTGGTGGTTTTGAAAGATTTTTCACATGTAATGCACTTGTAAGGACACATCCCAGAATGTGTTAACAAATGATACTTTAGATGAGATATTTGATTAAATGTTTTCTTACATGTCAAACATCTAAAGGGACGCTCGCCTGTGTGTAAATATATATGATACTTCATACTCCTTATAGTTGAAAACATTTTTCTACATATTGGACAGTTAAGGAGACGCTTTTTAGTGATATTAAACATTTTATGTTTTATATTTCCGATTTCTAACATCAGGCAAGATGATACTACTCTGAATTATTCTGCTGGTTTTATATGTCTATTTTTGTAGAATTGGTTAGATGTTGAACAGTTAATTAGTGTATTAATAAAATGTGATCAGCTCTTGCTCAAAGATTGTTATGTGTATTAGACATCATACCACATAGGTTACTTGAGGCATTTTGCTTTTATGTCTTGACTCTATGTTCCATCCAGTTAAATTAGCCTACTCAAGAAATCGTTGTCTTCACCATGTTGCTTTCAAACAATGTTGGTTGCATCAGTCATATAAAAGTTATGAATAATTTAAATTAAAGATTTACAAAGTAAATCACTTACTTTAATCAGTAAATTGTGTGTAGTAAAAACTAAATGTTTTTAGCTTCTGTTTAATGTATAACATCTTATTCTGTAAATTATCTTTTTGTGACATGGAGTTGATGTTCCTTTTTCTCTTCAAATCTTTTGCCTAGGCCTATTCTGAAAAAGACCATAATTTATTAATTATATACAGTTGTTAAACATTTAGGTAATTCTTTGTTTAAATTTAGAATCATAAAAGCAATTAAAATTTATATAATCTAAATAAGTATGGTACCGGGTGTCCATAAAATATTAATCTTGAATCAAGATCAATAATTGATCAAGGAACCTCTTTAAGTACCTATATTTTCTTACATCAGGTCTTTTGCAAAATTCGATCAGGTAATACAAGTCGAGGATTTGAGCAACAATTTGGATAAAAATGATCACCTCTTATACTCCGTTCACAACATTTAGGCGGTTTGAGGGGAAGTTCCCGGACTTTTTTTTTTTTTTTTTTTTTTTTGCTTAATATATATGGCTCAGCTGATTAATGCTTTGTTTTGGTAATGCTCAGCTGAAGGTTTTGATTTTTGATAAGCTTAAAAGGAGGGGGGGGGGAAATTTCTTCCCCAATAACCGCCTAAATTTTGTGAACGCACTATAGTTATAGCAGGTACCAACAATATTGAAGTGATGATAACTATTAATGTATGATATTCACAAGCTGTTAAATCACACCAAGCTTGCAATATCCTGGAATGAACATGTAAATTATTTGTCTACTAGACTATCTCGAGTAATTTTTCTTCTTGGTCGTCTCAAAGATGTAATTCCAAAGAACTATTTGAGATCGGCTTATTTTATATATTTTCAGTCTGTAATGAGATATGGATTGATATTCTGGGGTGGGTGTGGAAGAATCAATGAAATTTTAATCCTACAGAAGGGGGCTATCACAGCTATGAATGGATCAGAGCCAGACGAGCACTGCAAGCCTCTTTTTAAGGATTTTAAGATTCAAACTGTAATAAATTTGTTTATTTATGATCTTGCCCTTTATATCCTAAAAAAAACCCATCACCTAAAATTCAATAATCATAATCACAATACCAGATTTGAAAATAGTGCCTTGTTAGAATCACATCGTCTGAGTAAGACTAGCAAGAGCCACATAGTGTTATCAACTAAAGTATATAACCTTTTAAAACACAATATTAATGCTTATCCGCAAGAAAAATTCAAGTCCTTGTTTTATAATTGGCTATTAGACAACCCTTCTTATAGCCTGGACGATTTGTTCAAATCTTGCCAAATAAAATCTTTGATTGTTTAACCCTGCTGCTAACCTGTTGCTTTATCAGGTCCTTATATTGTTGTTTGTTTAGTAATGTGTACATATTTTAGTTATTAAGCCCTATTGTTTTTTCAAAATATTGAAAGTGTTTTTAATTTTGTTTTGTTTGACGATTGATGTATAATCATGATTTTGACTTTGTCGATGATCTAATGTATCCTTATGACAAATTATTTTTATTATTATTCTTCTTAATTATTATTAACAGTCAATCTAGCCTCACTTCCTGTGCTATACAACTAACCTAACCTGGATCTTGGAATACTATGACAAAAGTGGAAACCAGTACCTTCACTCATTAATCCTTTGCCAAAAAACCCAAATCTGCAATAATTTTCAATTGGCAAAAAATCTGCACAGTCCACCTTACAAATCACGGGACTTTTCAATGACATCAATCATTTTGACACTCCATTGCAGACAAAGTACGAGAGATATTATGTGCATGCTCCCATAACTGCATGTGTGCTTAGTTTATGAAAGCTCTGATACTAAAATATTGGTGTTAGCGCCGTCTCAAGCACACTAATGCTAAACGTCTGTTACTTTCTAGTCTATCCTCCCCTCCCAAATAATTATTTAATTTGTCTTATTTTTGTACAGAATACGAGTGGTCTTGTCAAGTCTGCAATTACACAATAGCTCAATTCAATAAAACTCATGTATTATTTGTACTATTCCCTGCCTTTGTTGAGCTAAGCATATATTTCCTATGGAATAAAGATTATTGGGAGAATGGTGTGAGGTTAAGAAGAGAAAATTATCACTTGGTTTGGTATGTAGATTTAGGTTCAAATACAATACTTAAATGAAGTAAAACACTGATGAAGTTAACACCTTTTAATTTTCACTAGTAGTAAAAAAATTAACACTCACAAAAATAACATATCAGTTTGTTCATGTGATTATATGATGTATGTAATAATTAATACCAATATTATCAAGATTTTGCATGGATTCAGTACATTAATCAACCTCTCATTTTCAATAAAAATATAATACAGTACATTACAAATATTTAAAAAATCTACACTAAATACAATTGTTTTATTACCTGTACAGTTGATGAGTTTTACTGAAATGCCTTAAAAGCCAGTCCAGTTACTCAGAGGTACAATTAATTCACCACCCAAAAATAATATAATATATTCATGAAAATTTACACAAAATGGAAAAATTAACAAAATCTTAACATTAGTGGGTTTTCTGTATCTGAATGAAAATTTTGAAACAAAATTAAAAAAAAAAACAATTTAAAAAAATTTTTGTTCCGTTTTTGAAATTTTTATTTTTTTTTATTTTATTAACATTTGAAGTTTTATAAAATGTCCATGGTAACGCAATATCTTTGGTGATTTTTTATTAATAGAGCATCTTTGATGGAAAAACACAAAATTTTGTCACAACCATCACGGACATAAAATTGAATGTTAATATTATTTTTATAACTATGTTTTGTTATAAATTAATTTACTTTTAGGGCCATTATACAATAAACAGCTCACTAAGCTTTTAGTATATTTGGTCTTTCTAGAAAAAAATAAAAAAACTCCTAAAACTGAAAAAGAGCCAATAAAATCTTTTTAAGTTTGCATAACTCCGAAAAAACTTACCTCAGACCCAAAAAATCGTTATGTTTTATAGAGGTGTGCTTCATTTGTGTATAAAACATTGAAACAATATGATGATATTTTAATTTTTGAAATTTATACGATAGAAATCATAAACGTGATGGTCAGGAACAAGCAATACGGTCGTGAATTGTCTGGAATAATCTAAATCTTTCTAAACAATCCTTCAATTATACTGTTAGTTATACCTAATAAAAATATGTGTTTCAATTTTACAATGACATTTAAGTTATTGTCACGACCAAACACAGTGTAATCCATAAGGTTGGATTGGTCGTGAAAAAAACCTGCGATGGTCGTGACATTACATGTTATTTGGCTCTGTTCTGGCGGTAGCCCTGCACCTCATGTTCGAGGATACAAAGTGGACTTCTAGGTTAATCTAGCAATTGAAATATCTTATAAACAAAAATTAACACCATGTCTACTTCATCAAATGACTACGTACGGTCATGGACACACCAAAATTACAAAAAACACAAACTTGCCTTTATTAATCTTGTAGTTCATCCTTTCAACTCGAAACGACCGGCACTACAATCCTGACGTACACCCCAAACTAGTCTCTAAAACCAACTGACTCCATCGAAGCCAGGCTTACCACTGTCGTGCTCCAAAGTTGCAAATTTTTCCCTAATGGTCATTCCAAACATGTTTTCAATCATTGGGAAAATCTTCGATTGTGTAATACAATACAAAATAATACAAGTGCAGATCCGTTACGATGGACCTCCCTTTGAACTTAGAACGTGTCTTCTCAACAAACAGATATTTTTTCTCAAATAAAACCATAGATTATTCTTTATTACACTGATGAAATAACTTCTTGATCAGCATTGTACGTGTTCGTCACGTCATTCGCCTATTGGGTCTGATGATGATTGGAGTGTCCAATCGAAATCGATCACCACTTACCATCGTTTTTGTATATTTACCGTCTTGTGAGTAACAGTATAAGCGTAAATATATGTTTTAAGTGTTATAAGACGTTTCTTTTATTTACTTTCCGTACTGATGAAATCGCGGAAGTTTTTAACCATTAAAGATCCACCAATACAATTTTAATACTATTTAAAGGTTCTTCCAAAAGAAGAGATACCAGGGGTGTCATTCAATGTTGTATATTATGCCATTTCATTAGCCACAGAGCATTATTAGATAGTAAAAACCATACGTTTGCGAACTATAAGTATTAGAAATGTTGTGCCTATCAAGTCTCTTTTGTCTTTTGTAGTCTATTTCATCGTAGACGTTGTGATATAATTTCTGGCCGAAATACAATTCTCAAGTAGATAACAATTTAAAGAAAAGGGAATCAATAGGAAAAAGAAGCTGCTTGGCAAAAAAAATACTGCTACAATGTTGTAGGTTATTAAATGGCTTGACAAGTTTTAAATATGCATGTGTTGATGTGCTTTAACGACCCAAAACCCGTCAAGGGGTAAAAATCATCTCTCGTGTGAACCAATGTATGTCTCTTCATAACTTCCTTGGATTTAAAGGATTTTCCACATGTAGAGCACTTATGAGATCGCTCTTCCATGTGAACAAATGTATGTTTCTTCATATCTTCCTTGGATTTGAATGATTTTCCACATGTAGAGCACTAATGAGGTCACTCTCCTTTGTGAACCAATGTATGTCTCTTCATATTTTCCTTGGATTTGAATGATTTTCCACATGTAGGGCACTGATGAGGTCGCTCTCCCGTGTGAACCAATGTATGTTTCTTCATATTTTTGCTGTTTTGGAAGGATTTTCCACATGTTGTGCACTGATGAGGTCGCTCTCCCGTGTGAACCAATGTATGTCTCTTCATATTTTCCTTGGATGTGAATGATTTTCCACATGTAGGGCACTGATGAGGCCGCTCTCCCGTGTGAACCAATGTATGTCTCTTCATATTTTCCTTGGATTTGAATGATTTTCCACATGTAGGGCACTGATGAGGTCGCTCTCCCGTGTGAACCAATGTATGTTTCTTCATATTTTTGCTGTTTCGGAAGGATTTTCCACATGTTGTGCACTGATGAGGTCGCTCTCCCGTGTGAACCAATGTATGTTTCTTCATATCTCCCTTGGATTTGAATGATTTTCCACATGTAGGGCACTGATGAGGTCGCTCTCCCGTGTGAACCAATGTATGTCTCTTCATATTTTCCTTGGATTTGAATGATTTTCCACATGTAGGGCACTGATGAGGTCGCTCTCCAGTGTGAACCAATGTATGTTTCTTCATATTTTTGCTGTTTCGGAAGGATTTTCCACATGTAGGGCACTGATGAGGTCGCTCTCCCGTGTGAACCAATGTATGTCTCTTCATATTTTTACTGGTTTGGAAGGATTTTCCACATGTAGTGCACTTATGAGGTCCATTTCCTGTGTGAACCAATGTATGTTTCTTCATATCTCCCTTGGATTTGAATGATTTTCCACATGTAGTGCACTTGTGAGGTCGCTCTCCCGTGTGAACCAAAGTATGTTTCTTCATATCTCCCTTGGATTTGAATGATTTTCCACATGTAGTGCACTTGTGAGTTCGCTCTCCCGTGTGAACCAAAGTATGTTTATTCATATCTCCCTTGGATTTGAATGATTTTCCACATGTAGGGCAGTGATGAGGTCGATCTCCCGTGTGAACCAATGCATGTATCTTCAAAAGGCTGGTGGTTTTGAAAGATTTTCCACATGTAGTGCACTTGTAAGGACACATCCCAGAATGTGTAAACAAATGATACTTTAAATGAGATATTTGAATAAATGTTTTCTCACATGTCAAACATCTAAAGGGACGCTCACCTGTGTGTAAATATATATGATACTTCATATTCCATATAGTTGAAAACATTTTTCTACATATTAGACACTTAAGGAGACGCTTTTTAGTGATATTAAACATTTTATGTTTTATATTTCCGATTTCTAACATCAGGCAAGATAATACTACTCGGAATTATTCTGTTGGTTTTATATGTATATTTTTGTAGAATTTGTTACATGTTGAACAAGTTAATAAGTGTATCAATAAAATGTGATCAGCTCTTGCTCAAATATTGTTTTGTGTATTAAATATGATACAACACAGCTTACTTGAGGCATTTTGCTTTCTTGTCTTGACTCTATGTTTCATCCAGTTAAATTAGCCTACTTAAGAAACCTGTGTCTTCACATGTTGTTTTCAGACAATGTTGCATCAGCCATATAAAAGTTATGAATAATTTAAATTCAAGATTTACATAGTAAATCACTTACTTTAATCAGTTAATTGTATGTAGTAAAAACTAAATGTTTTTAGCTTCTGTTTAAAGTATTACGTCTTTCTGTAAATTATCTTTCTTGTGATATGAATTGAAGTTCCTTTTTCTCTTCAAATCTTTTGCCTATTCTGAAAAAGACCATAATTTATTAATTATATACAGTTGTTGTAAACATTTAGGTAATTCTTTGTTCAAATTTAAAATCATAATAGCAATCGAAATTTATGTAATTTAATTACAGTAAGTATCATGGTAATGGTGTCTATAAAAAATTCATCGGTAATCAAGACCAATAATTGATCTAGGAACCTCTTTAAATATTTTTGTTCATATGTTAAATCTTTAACCAAATTCGACCAGGTAATACAAGTGGAGGATTTGAGCAACAGTTTTGATAAAAATGAAGACCTCCTATTCTCTGTTCACAACATTTAGGCAGTTTGATTGGAAGTTTACAGACTCCATTTAGCGAATTTCCCTATAGGGAAGTAGCTATTCCCGTAGGTGGCCTGGTAAGACCTAGGCCCGGACCGATTTACTTTTTCATTTTGATGTTCCCAGAGGCCAAAAACACCATTCGTTCAAACTTATATATATATATGTGTGTGTCCGTGAATGCGAAACTTGAGTAATTATTGTCTGATTTTTATGAAATTTGATTTAAAGGTGTAAAGCGGGATATACTTGAATGAGTTCGTGAACCAGCATGATCGGACCATGGGAATGGGGTTTTACAAGGGGTTTTATGGGGTAAAAATTGGTTTTTCTCATTTTTAACCTTAAAAACACAAAATTTCCCAATTTCTACAAATAATTTAGTATATCAAAATATTTTTGTACGGTTATTGGTAAAGGAGAAAATCCAAAAAATTGTAAATATAAAATTCCCATTTTATTCTTATGGGGAATATTGTAAAATGTTGTAGTTTGCTTGTTTATGGATATAATTTGATCAAACTTGGCAAATTTATTTATTTTATACTAAGCTATTAATATTTTGCAAAAAAAAATTATAGTTTCCTTGTAGCAGCAAAAGTAGGTGCTCGTTAAACCTAATGTAATTTAAATATATTTAATTGTAAAATCAATTCAGACAAATGGAAATTCGCTTAGTCGGCAGGATTGCTGCGGCGAGGGTATTTTTGCTATATATTGCCATAGATAAATAGAATAAATATAGACCATCAGCTGTGCTGCGGTGAGCATAAGTTCTGACGTCCACCGCTAGGTTTGCCGTGTAGTTACGGCGCACACCACTGCAGCATCTGCAGGTCACATACGGCTCCTGCGCCCCTCGCCTGCAGCGGTGTGCGCCGTAACTACACGGCAAACCTAGTGGTGGGCGCCGGTACCTTCCTTTGAGAGTCTATATTTATTCTATTTGTCTATGATATGGCTCAGCTGAATTAGGTTTTGTTTTGGTAAACCTATGCTCTTGAGCTTATTATTTTATAGGAAGGTTTTGATTTTTTAGGGTTATAAGAGGAGGTAGATTTTTTCCCAATAACCGCCTACATTTTGTGAACACAGTATAGTTATATCAGGTACCAACAATATTGTATTGAAGTGATGACAACTACTAATGTATGATGCACACAAGCTTATCAATCACACCAAGGTTACAAAACTAAACCAATCCTCACTTCCTATACAATACAATTAACCTAACCTAGATCTTGCAATATTACCACAAAAGTGGAAACCAGTGCCTTCACGCATTATTCCTATGCCATAAAAGAAATCCAAATCTGCAATAATTTTCAATTGGCAAGAACAATTTTGCAAACAAAAATATACATGGAGCCCTCCACACAAACCACCAGACAGTGCTATGACATCAATCATTTTAACACTCCATAGCAGACAAAGTATGAGAGATATTATGTGCATGCTCCAATAGCTGGATTCCAACGCAATATGTAGATTTAGGTTCAAATACAATACTTTAATGAAGTAAAACACTGAAGCAGTTAGTACCTTTTAATTTTCACTAGTAGTACAAAAATTAACTAACACTCACAAAAATAACATATCAGTTTGTTTATGTGATTATATGATGCATGTAATAATTTAATATTGTAGGTTTATCCACCAAGATTATTAAGATTTCGCATGGATTCAGTACATTAATCAACCTATCATTTTCATTAAAAATATAATATAGTACATTACAAATATTTAAAAAATCTACACTAAATACAATTGTTTTATTAACCTGTACAGTTGATGAGTTTTACTGAAATGCCTTAAAAGCCAGTCTAGTTACTAAGAAGAGGTAGAATTAATTCACCACCCAAAAATAATGTAATATATTCATAAAAATGTACACAAAATGGAAAAATCTACAAAATCTTGACATAAGTGGGTTTTCTATATGTATGCAATACACAATAATAAGATAGTCAAGATAGTAAATAAGATTACAGTTTCATTTGTAATATGTAGGATACATTAAAAAACCCTAGAGAATATTTATATATAAACAGATAAACAGTCCTGGATACAACCAAGCATTGTACAGAGTGACCGAGGAATCAAACATTTTTTTTTAGCTGATAGTACGGTATATGCACCATAGTTATTGTAGTTATTGTTGAGAGTAGGGAGGGGTGTCATTCAATGTTGTATATTATGCCGTTTTATTAGCTATGGAGCATTATAAACGGTAAAAACCATACGTTTGCTAACTATAAAAATGTGCGAAATGTTGTGCCTATCAAGTCTCTTTTGTCTTTTGTAGTCTCTTTCATCTTACACGTTGTGATATAATTTCTGGCCGAAATACAATTCTCAAGTAGATAACAATTTAAAGAAAAGGGAATCAATAGGAAAAAGAAGCTGCTTGGCAAAAAAAATACTGCTACAATGTTGTAGGTTATTAAATGGCTTGACAAGTTTTAAATAGGCATGTGTTGATGTGCTTTAACGACCCAAAACCCGTCAAGGGGTAAAAATCCAATTAAAGTTTTATTTGTGCGGGTTAAACCGCGCCTGCGTTGACAACGGCATCGAAGGAGCAGGCCTACGTCATTGTAGAGGGGAGGACGCTAGTTAGCTACCCCGCCGTCAGAAAAGGAGACCTCATGATCAATTGCCTACCCGCTACCGACTCGACGACAAGTTTATTATTTTTATTTTACCGTGCCGTAGTCACACACGCTTTTTCACGTACGAGCACACCACCTTATGTCTTTAACCAGCTTTGGAAATCAGTTAAGTTGCCAGAACGATATAAGTAGAATTTATTCATTTACCCCGGACAGGTTTACATTAATTTGATCTAAGAAACCCCGAATCGACTCTGGTGTTTGACCGAGTCTAATTTTCCCGACACGTTTACTTTGGTGATAGCAAGTTCAACGTTTTAGTTAATTTTATAATTGACTAAGTTTATTCGCGTTCACGTTAATTTATTCAAAATTCCAAATTTAATTTAACATATATTTCATAAATTAATGTATGAAACAACATATTGCAAATATTTGTGATGGATCTTCCAGATGTGGTGCACTCTGTAGGTCCCTCTCTAGTGTGAATTAATTATCCATAAGTCTCTTCATATGACTGCTGGTTTGGAAGAATTTTCCACTTGTGAGGTCGCTCTCTCTCTCTCTCGTGTGAATTAATGTATGTCTCTTCATAACTTCCTTGGATTTAAAGGATTTTCCACATGTAGAGCACTTATGAGATCGCTCTTCCATGTGAACTAATGTATGTTTCTTCATAACTTCCTTGGATTTGAAGGATTTTCCACATGTAGAGCACTTATGAGGTCGCTCTCCTGTGTGAACCAATGAATGTCTCTTCATATTTCTGCTGGTTTGGAAGGATTTTCCACATGTAGAGCACTTATGAGGTCGCTCTCCCAAGTGAACTAATATATGTTTCTTCATAACTTCCTTGGATTTGAAGGATTTTCCACATGTAGAGCACTTATGAGGTCGCTCTCCCATGTGAACCAATGTATGTTTCTTCATATCTTCCTTGGATTTGAAGGATTTTCCACATGTAAAGCACTTATGAGGTCGCTCTCCTGTGTGAACCAATGTATGTCTCTTCATATTTATGCTGGTTTGGAAGGATTTCCCACATGTAAGGCACTCATGAGGTCGCCCTCCTGTGTGAACCAATAAATGAAGCTTCATATAGCTGCTGGTTGAGAAGGATTTTCCACATGTAGTGCACTTATAAGGTCGCTCTCCTGTGTGAACCAATGTATGTCTCTTCATATTTCTGCTGGTTTGGAAGGATTTCCCACATGTAGTGCACTTATGAGGTCGCTCTCCTGTGTGAACCAATAAATGAAGTTTCATATGGCTGCTGGTTGGGAAGGATTTTCCACATGTAGGGCACTGATGAGGTCGCTCTCTCGTGTGAATTAATGTATGTCTCTTCATACTTCTGTTGGTTGGGAATGATTTTCCACATGTTGTGCACTTATGAGGTCGCTCTCCTGTGTGAACCAATAAATGAAGTTTCATACGGCTGCTGGTTGGGAAGGATTTTCCACATGTAGGGCACTGATGAGGTCGCTCTCCCGTGTGAACCAATGCATGTTGCTTCATATTGCTGCTGTTTCGGAAGGATTTTCCACATATAGTGCATTTATGAGGTCGCTCTCCAATGTGAACCAATTCATGTCTCTTCATAAGGCTCCTGGTTTTGAAAGATTTTCCACATGTAGTGCACTTGTGAGGTCGCTCTCCCGTGTGAACCAAAGTATGTTTATTCATATCTCCCTTGGATTTGAATGATTTTCCACATGTAGGGCAGTGATGAGGTTGATCTCCCGTGTGAACCAATGCATGTATCTTCAAAAGGCTGGTGGTTTTGAAAGATTTTCCACATGTAGTGCACTTGTAAGGACACATCCCAGAATGTGTTAACAAATGATACTTTAGATGAGATATTTGAATAAATGTTTTCTCACATGTCAAACATCTAAAGGGATGCTCACCTGTGTGTAAATATATATGATACTTCATACTCCTTATAGTTGAAAACATTTTTCTACATATTGGACAGTTAAGGAGACGCTTTTTAGTGATATTAAACATTTTATGTTTTATATTTCTGATTTCTAACATCAGGCAAGATGATACTACTCTGAATTATTCTGCTGGTTTTATATGTCTATTTTTGTAGAATTGGTTAGATGTTGAACAGTCAATTAGTGTATTAATAAAATGTGATCAGCTCTTGCTCAAAGATTGTTATGTGTATTAAATATTTTACCACACAGTTTACTTGAGGCATTTTGCTTTTATGTCTTGACTCTATGTTCCATCCAGTTAAATTAGCCTACTCAAGAAATCGTTGTCTTCACCATGTTGCTTTCAAACAATGTTGGTTGCATCAGTCATATAAAAGTTATGAATAATTTAAATTCAAGATTTACATAGTAAATCACTTACTTTAAACCGTAAATTTTGTGTAGTAAAAATTACATGTTTTTAGCTGCTGTTTAAAGTGTTACATCTTATTCTGTATAGGCTATTATCCTTCTTGTGATATGAGTTGAAGTTCCTTTTTCTCTTCAAATCTTTTGCCTATTCTGAAAAAGACCATAATTTATTGAATATATACAGTTGTTGTAAACATTTAGGTATTTTTTTGTTCAAACTTAGAATCATAAAAGCAATTAAAATTGATATAATCTAAATAAGTATGGTACCGGGTGTCCATAAAATATAAATCTTGAATCAAGATCAATAATTGATCAAGGAACCTCTTTAAGTATATTTTCCTATATCAGGTCTTTTGCAAAATTCGATCAGGTAATACAAGTCGAGGATTTGAGCAACAATTTGGTTAAAAATAATCACCTCTTATACTTCGTTCACAACATTTAGGCGGTTTGAGGGGAAGTTCCCAGACTCTCTTTTTGTTTAATATATATGGCTCATTCTCATTTATGCTTTGTTTTTGTAAAGCTCAGCTGTTGAGCTCATTATCTTATAGGAAGGTTTTGATTTTTGATAAGGTTATAAGGGGGGGTAGATTTCTACCCCAATAACCGCCTAAATTTTGTGAAAGCAGTATAGTTATAGCAGGTACCAACAATTTATTGAAGTGATGATAACTATTAATGTATGACTAGTGTACACGTTGCTCGAAATCGAGCATTTGCAAAGAAGTAAAGTAGTTATTTAAAAACAAATAATAGTCATCATAATTTCCGATGAGTTTAAAGGACTCAACTCATAGATTACGTACCTAACAGTTCCATATAATCAACATTTCTTGTAAATATTTTATCATTTTTCAAAAGCTGATCTGGTTTTTTAAATGTTTCCCACTTATAGCCGTATTAGGTTGTCCATGTTGATCTTTGTCAATGATGTAGTCTGCATGGTACCGCCCATTGTCGCCAGTACGTTTACAAATTTCAGTAAATTTTTTATAGCGATAACATATTGTTTACATGACTAAGAACTACCTGATTTTCTGCATAACCTCTCCGAAAGGCCGAATGTCGTTCAGATGGTTTTTTGTTTCCCTTAGGCATAAATGTGAATAATACTGTGAATAATGTGAATCCTCAATGAAAGTTTTATTAAGGTTTCTTGGATGTAGTCACATTCTTTTAAAATCACTTGAATTTTATGAAAACATATATTTAATGATTAATGTCCTTGACGAACCAGTTTAATTCAGACTTAGAGGGGTTTCCTTTGACAATCATCATAAAGTTAAGTCCACAAAATAGTAGTACTTCGGCTAACATCTTTGTTCATTGTTTGTGGGACTCTTCATATTGTAGCTGTAGGTGTTCTTCATTATATAGGATGATAACAATAGAAAATGTTTTTTTTTTATCTCTATTTTTCTTATACTTGGTGGCGTTCTATGACTTTTCTATGTTTCCATGGTTAAAAAATCGGTCCTTTCAGTGATTGCTCAGAAATACAGTACTAAGTCAATTCATTTTTCTTTTTTGGTAAAATATATCAAATTGCCTAGGCTTTCTCGATTTTTTACATTGTAATATGTACGAATGTAAATTAAAGTAGTAAATATTTAATTTCAACAAAATCAGTAAATGTACCCAATGCGTTTTGTTGAATTGAAAAATAAATAACAGCAATTAAATTATACAGCTGATCAAAATGTAAACAATTATGTTATTCATAAGGATAACATGGGAACTTTCAAAGCCACTGGGGCAGAGCCCAAGGGACTTTTTCAAAAATGTAAGGTCAGTTTGCAAATCTACGCAACACGCTCTTTCCAATGAGACGTCAATGGATAAAATCGGTTAAGACATTTCTTAACCAAACATTTCTTCGCCATTGCGTAGGAGTTTAAAAAACAAAGTTTCATGTAGCGTATTAATTATATAGATATTTACAAACTTATCAATCACACCAAGCTTACAAAAGTCAATCTAGCCTCATTTCTTGTGCGATACAACTAACATAACCTGGATCTTGGAATACTACGACAAAAGTGGAAACCAGTGCCTTCACTCATTATTTCTTTGCCAAAAAAACCCAAATCTGCAATAACTTTCAATTGGCAAACAAATTTTGCAAACAAAAATCTGCACAGTCCACCTCACAAATCACGGGACATTGCAATGACATCAATCATTTTGACACTCCATTGCAGACAAAGTACGAGAGATATTATGTGCATGCTCCCATAACTGCATGTGTGCTTAGTTTATGAAAGCTCTGATACTAAAATATTGGTGTTAGCACCGTCTCAAGCACACTAATGCTAAACGTCTGTTACTTTCTAGACTGCCCTCCGCTCCCAAATAATTATTTACTTTGTCTTATTTTTGTACAGAATATGAGTGGTCCATGTCAAGTCTGCCATTAAACAATAGTGCAATACAATAAAACGTATCTCATGTATTATTTGTACTATTTCCTACCATTGTTGAGATAAGCATACATTTTCTATGGAATCCTTATATAATAAGTGAAGGAGATTTTTACAAAACACTACTCTTCTGTTAATAATGAACGTATATTTACAAACAATGTGTCAAAATTAAGTATTTTTTGTGTAGTCGTCCCCTTTCACCAATTCCTGTTATAAAAGTTCTCGGGCTGACAATACAGACCGATTTTGATGGCCCATGAAAAAAAGATTTAGTTTAATTAGACGAATAATTTTGTATTAATTGCATAATAAAACAGCTGTTCCTAGTAAACACATGGCACATTTTGATACACACAAGAGCGTTCGTTTTCAGTTTTGATTACTGGAATGGAGTGATTGATTACATTATCTTTGAGTTGACTCTTTTAAGTCATCGGAAATTATGATTGTAATTCGTTTTGAAATAACATCTGTAATACTTTGCAATTGCTCGAATTCAAGCAAAAGGAGCACTATATTAAATATTTTTACTGGAGTTTTCGACCACTGGACGACCTCTAGTAAAAATCATTAGGTGAATTGCTTATGGTTAGGAAGAGGAGTTATCAATAGATAGGTAGATTAAAGATCAAGTACAGTACTTAAATGAAGTCAAACACTCAAAGCAGTTAATACCTTTAATTTTCTCTAGTCGTATACAAATTAACAAACAAACAAAAAATAAATACAACAGTTTGTTTATGTTGTATGTGAGACTTGTAATTAATATTGTAGGTTTATCCTAATTCAATATTTCATGTGGATTCAATACATTAATCAATCTTTCATTTTCATTAAATATATACAGTAAAAATATTTTATAAATCTACAATACATAGGCTACATTTTTTAATAACCTATACAGTTCATGTGTTTTGCTGAAATGCTGTAGGTACTAAGAGTGTGTACAATTAATTCAAAACCCAAAAATATAATATATTTATAAAAATGTACATAGAATGAAAAATTAACAAAGGCTTAATATTAATGGGTTTTCTGGATCAAGGCAATACACAATAATAAGACAATAGCACTGGAAAGTACCCTGACATTTTATATAAGTGTTCTGTGATATAATCTCAATCTGTGATATCATTTATAGCTACTGTGATAATTTTGTGTATTGGTTTAAGGATTTTTTGACGAAATCAATTACAATATTGTATTGTTTAAAGATGGAATAAATGACTATTCATGGAGATTGATTGATTGATTCTGATGGGCTTTTTGCGCTCCCCAGACATGGAGATTTAGACAGTAAACACTATATGTTTTCTTACTATAAGTATGTGCAAAATGTTGTGCCTATCAAGGCAGCCTTTTTAGTCTCTTTCATCTTAGACATCATAATATAATTTCCACCCAAAATACAATTCTTAAGTAGATTAACAATTTAAGGAAAAGAGGATCAATCCGAAAAAAGAAGCTGCTTTGCGAAAATATAACTGTTACGACGTTGTAAGTTTTGAAACGGCTTGGCAAGCTTTAAATACGCAGGTGATGATGTGCTTAAACACTTTTAGGTTACAGGTGAGACGTTTAAAAAACATTACATGTACTTGGTTTATTTTCAATAAAATCCACCGCACATACTACCATTATTCCATATTTGGAAATTAACAATTTGTTCAATGAGATTCAATTTGTATATCGAAGTGGGAGATCCACCACTCAAGCTGTAGACAATATTGTAAATCAACTATTGCATAGCTTAGAAAGCATTTGATTGTGTCAGACATGACATTTTAATTGAAAAATTGAAATTTTATGGTTTCAAAGGTTTAATGCCATTAGTATGTTTCAGTCATACCTTAAAGACGGATGTCAGATTGTTGAGGTGAAGGAAAGAGATAAAAAAAGCAAGGTCAAAGGTCGGGGTACCACAGGGTTCGGTTATGGGTACCATTTTGTTTTTAATTTTAATTAATGACATTAGTTTCAATTTGGCTTATAAGTCAACAATTTACGCTGATGACACCTCTTTACTTGTTAGCCATAGTGATTTAGATTGTATGGAAAATGTTGCCTATTCTGTTTTTAAAGATGCTGAAGAATGGTTTACAGTAAATTGATTGTTTTAAAATTATCAAAAAACACAAAGACTATTGGTGACCTTGAAAAAGAATCATGAAAACCATCAATTTGTTCATGATTATGAAAATGTTGTAACATTACTTGGTATAAAATTATACTGTAAGCTGTCATGGTCTGACCATATTAATTTTATGAATAATAAATTGTCCAGAATTGTACATTTGTTAATAAATCTCAAAAAACATGTTTCCAGTAAATACTTGAAAATGGCATACTGTATTTTGCTTTTTTTGAAGTGTTATCAGGTATGGTTTGATAATCTGGGGTAACGGAGTTGGAATTGAAAAAATTTTAATAAATAAAAAAGCGGTTAGAGTTTTGACCGACTCAGAAAGGTTAGCCCGCTCTAGGCCACCTTTTGTCTCATCAGGGATCCTGACTATTGTTAACTTGTATATTTTGGAGGTATTGATGTTTGTCAAAATTAATTTAAATATGTTTTCTGTCAGAGAAGAAATACATGATTATGTGAACAGATTTAGGCATAAATTAGATAA